TTTTTTTGAGGAGACGGGAGGAATAAATTATTGATGGTTTCCTCTCGCAATTTCTTTTTCTTTGGTTTCTAAGAAACCAACCAAACAGCCCCTAACAAACATTCCTAGAAATCTCATGCAATGACTTTGTTAAGTATTCTTTTGAATCTTTTCACTATTTTTCTGACCATATCATCCATAAGAACCCTGCCAATAACAATGTCTATGCAGATAGTACATTGCCATCTCTGTATCATCATAGATATTAAAACTTTATCACCTCGCCTAACGCCTGATTTGCTGAGAATAATCAAATAAAACCAATTGTTGTGAACTATAGTCTTTTTTTTTTTAACTTGAAAAGTTTTAAGATTTATTGTTTCACAAGAAATAGCAAGTTAATCAAAAATGAGGATCTAGTTCAAGTTAAATTTAAGCCCGGATACGCTATTCAATATGCAGAATATGCCAATAAGAAAAGTCCACCAAATTAGAATACTGGTGGTTCTATCAGTTTAAATGTGGCTGGGATTCAAATGGGACCAAATGTTGTGTCCGATTGTCCTGGAACAGTATGCTTTTCTTACCTGAATGACATATAATCAGCACATGCGCACCACCCTTGTCGCGCAATAACCTCTCTACCTCAATAGCATGTTGCAAACAGAAGATCCGCGGTCTACTAAATTCATTAGATGAAGTCCACTTCGTGTGTTCATCAGTACTTCTTTCTAATGGTACACCATGGGGGCTATGAATTTCAGAAAGAGGCCCTGTGACAGGAACAATTAGATTGTTTAATACAATTTCAACATCTGGATTAGTCTTCATGTTTGCAATTTCTTGTATTCGTCAAAACGGATAGTTTAAAAGGTTTAAATTATAAGGTTATCTTTAGAGGTCAGTATAACTTTTATCTCTAGAAAAAAAAAGTGTCTGAAAAAGTTCAAGTTAAATCCCTCCAGTTGACAGGAAAATTCCTTACCGCTTTCATTCAGCAAATTAAAGCCGTCTTTTGCACCCATGCTTTCTAAAAAAAAGACATGATTGCTTTGTTCTGGAGACACCTTGCAGCTTGAATCTGGGTTTTCTTGTACCGTTGAAATATTGCAGCTTCCCTCTGGACCATAGGAAAATTCAACATAAAGCTTTTCTGGATTGAAAAAATACAGAAGTTGATTGTTTGAATAGTAATTTAAGTTGACATCAATGGTGAAAGTAACATCAATAAGAATCATGTTCATCTATGAACATGCAACAAAATCAACTCAACAAGCACAACTTAAATGTAGCTTCAAGGATAGATGCTTACGGTTGAAATCACATATAACACGCTTACTATCGAAGCATACAAATAAACTGGTGTTGATTGCCTACACAAAGTTGGCACACAAAAGACCCAAATTTATCTTAATTCTTATGAAACGTAAGCTAATACTTAACAAGTGCAAGAAAATTTTCACCGGATTTATTAAACTTATGCATTGAAGGTGTACAAAACTCTTCAATAATACACACTCAAAATCAGTTAAAAACCCCCTAGGAGTTTGTTTGAATTAGTCTTCAGTATGGAATTAAGTGTTGAATTTTTTTTAATACAAGGTCTACATTTTGTAAATTAGTGCCGCAAGACTCTGCGCCATTGAAATAAGGAATCTAGGAATAATGGAATAAATTGGTAATGATTGGAGAAATAAAACCCATAAAAGACATTGCAATATTAATGCTGTATGAAGTGTTACAACTCCAAATGCTTAAATAATAAAAACAGGAAATAGGTTACCTTGTCCAATCTTATGTATCCTGGGCAAGTGTGATGAAGCACATCTTGGTTTCCCCACTTTCTCATCAGACTCAGTGAAAACAGAAAACAACTCCTTCGTGGCTGCTCCATAAGGCTTCACCACTGCCATAAATGGATAACCAAGGATTCCACAAGCAACACACATCAATGTTCCTGAATCAATTTTCAAACCAAAAGGCAGGTCATCCTCTTCAGCATCTAGGATTTCCAGCAGTTCCGCATTAGAAATGCTATCAGCATCAGAAGTATCCTTGTGTTTTTTAGCCCGAGTGTGACACCATATGCTAGTTGGAGTAGCAGTCAGCTCCCTAGATGGATTTTCTTCATCCTTTGATGACTCACGATCTTTATGTTTCCATGGTCTCATACCCCCCTGTTCATCATCACTAACTGCTGCTCCCTGAACTCCAGTAGATAATGATGAGGATGACGACTGGGTAACAGTATATGGGTTAGGCAGCAGGTCAGGTTCCCAGAGGACTGCATGAGAAGTAGAGTCCTTCTGCAGGAGAGTACAGATCAGATTGTTTTCATTCATCATATCTTTGAGGAATGCTTTCTTGACGAGAATTTCTCTTTCTTCTCTCTTCCGGTCTGAAAGACGTGAACTCCTTACCCCAGAGAGTAGTGCTCTCGGAACTCTGAGATTAAAATAATTCCACCAGATTCAAACTGGAGACAAAACTACCATTAGGTGCCCACTATATGAATGCTTGGACACCAATAAGAGAAAAAACGAAATAAAGAGAATATTTGAAAACATACAGACATGTAGCACCAATAACAAAATGAAGGTACCTTTTATTTTTCTCTTTCAAAGCATACAAGTTAACTCTGTCCGAAGGACAGGTTTATACTTTACACAAGTCTCTATTTGATTGTCCAAATAAACAGTTTGATCAGAAAGTGCACAAAAGTATAACTAACTGACCTAGAGATGAAAGACACAGTTAGCATGTATAGCAGCTGTTGATGAGAGAGCATGGGAAGGTGATTCATGGCAGCTCTTCGAACTGCAGCTTCTTTTGCCACTTTTAACCATTGCGGAGTTGCAAAGTTAGCAGCTTCTCCACAATTGAATCCTGATTTTTTGAAATGTCAATTCAAAAACAAGAAAAGTAGAAGGATGGAGTGGTATAAGAATATTATATCCTGAATATATTAACTACAGCATATATAGTATATAAAATATAGATGTTCCGTGGCTTACTCTTATTTCAATTTAAATTCAGAGAGAAAAGGGAAAGAACTATACTGCAAGTCTGCAAGAGCTCTTTTAGATGACAAATTATACAATTAAATGACTATAGAGACCACGGTTACTATCATAACAGTTTCTGTTCTAAGTCTCACTCAGCCTGATACGTCCTTTTGAAATGTAATGGCACACGTGTTCAAAGAACATAGTCTTAGGGGAAAGCAAATTAAAGAAAGATGTACAATCTATTTGACACAGTCCAGAACTTATTGGACTTAACAAAAAAGTCTCATCTTCAAGACTTCAACAAGTCACCAAGCTTGTATATTTATCTTGATTCTATGTAGAAAACAATCTCAAGGCTTCAGTAATATCATGTACATCCCAAAGCTCAAGTTTTAAAAACTCTCTTAATATATTGTTATCATCCTTAAATAATGAAATTTGACAACGAAGATAATGGAAATTTAACCATGTAGAAGCAGCCACCACAGATTTAATGGCTTTTGTAGAATAGATACTTTGCTGAAATAGCTTATATACCCATTTATGGAAATCCTTGAAGCTGCTGTCCATATTTCCTTCAAACATGTCATGACTTAATGATGTCAGTTACATAGGAATTAAAGGTATTTCATTGTAAAGAACATCCACAATGGCAAGGCTTACATGATCATAAACCTTTGACATACCAACTTCATGTGCAGATTTGCTTTTGCCTCTAATGCAGACACAAAAAGCAAAAAAATGTAAATATGGCAGTACTGCTACCCAGACAGGCATATACACCTGCAAAGAGAGGGAGGACAGAAGGAGAAGGAGAAAGCAATGAAGGAAGGTGCTAATAAACAACACTTGACAGCATGTCTCTAGATATATAAGTAATGGGTATTTCCAACTATCTACGTAACAGATATATTTTTTGTGTTCTTCCAAAATTTTAACCCGTCCTAGCTAGGGAATGCATTCAAAATATTAGTACTAAATTGATTTAATTATTTTATTGAATAATTAATAATCTTTAATTAACTTAATTAAATTAAAAAATCTCTCCTCATGGACACAAATAACAGCAAGCACTTCCGCTATTCCCATGATCGAACATCACGACTCGCCTCCCAAACTCCCAGTAACACACGACCCCTCCTATCACTCCTTCCTTACCTCTCCCTGAAAAAACCAAACCCTGCCCTCCACTCAGCCACAATTATCTCTCCCCAATTTGATGAATAAAATAGAACTTATGGCAATTTTAGGCATAAATTCAGAAATACATATGATTTAGAGTGTGTATAGAGGGGAAAACATTAGAAATTTGTGCCTTTTCCCAAATTACAAACCATGCTTTCAGCATCTACCATATGATTGCCATACTTGTCGCCAGTCCCATAATATTTTAAAAGTATGGTATATTTTCTAATCAACCTGAAAATTGGGATTGTGAACAGAATGCTGACTGTAGGCGCATGGGCATGTCAAACATGCGAAAATATGGTTCAGATACTGCATTTAGCCATTATAACATTTTCATGCTTGTAATTTCTGATGGAAAATTAGGAACGTGCTATGCAAGAGCAATTAACTACTTTTGTCTTTTAAGAGCATGTGATGTGTAAAAGCAAGGTAGAAAAATCATACTTAGATAGTTAGACTATGCAACTTAGAAATATGTAGCACTATTTATCATTCAAAGAAACATAAAGCTGGAACATATCATTGAAACTTACCATGGCTGAACCCGACATGATAAGCTCTAGGAAATGTCACAACAAATTCACCAGGATTCTGTACTAATCTGAATGCAAAGTTCAGACAATTATCATCAAAGTCACCAAACTCACTTAATAAAACAATTATGAATAATTTAGTTCAATCAACAATTATACCTGCAACAAGGAACCCCTGCATTGACAATCACTTCTGGCGACAACAACGTTGTCTTCTCACCCAAGATCGTAAATGCCTCTGCCACAAACAGAAATAAACCCCAGTTAACACAATGGCCAAAACATCAAATAAACACCCAAGAACCAACAACATACACAATCTTGATACCTAACCGATCAAGATCTCCTCCATACCCCTCCACTCTTACAACGTCCTCCATCGTGCTAGCATACTCTCCCGGCACGGCATACCAAGTCTTGGGCGCACCCATATGCAAGAAATTCAAGCTGTGAAGCTCATGATCCTCTATATGCCAGGCAAACCAACTAAACAACATCCCAATATAAACCATAGGCGAAGTAACCCCAGGGACCTCATCGGGCATGAACCGGGTAAGCGACCCGGGTGCCCGTGCAATAACCTGCAAATTCCATGGACTATTTGAAAGCTTCCACCCTGATGTTCCCTCCTCAACAGAACTCTTTGCCTGCTCCACAAACTTTCTCCGTCTTTTCCGATGCAAGAACGGCTCCTCGGGCACCGCAAACCCCGACCCTGGCACATCATTGGCATACTCCACGTAAATCGGCTTCTCAGCCGCAGCTTTCCAAAACAGGGACTCAATAAGCAATGGGGTCACTTCCTTAAACCCAGAAAGCTGCGATTTCTGAAAAGTTTTCGACTTTGATTCAAACTGCTCAAGCGTATAAAACTCCCCACTCTGCCATACCTGCTGCTTGTGGCGATGAGCCTGCGCCTTCCTAGTGCCGAGCTCCTGGTGGCGGGTAGTGAAGCGGGTGGACGAGGGGTCGGGCGCGAGGGAGCGGGTGAGGTTACTGACGACGAATTTCTTCGAGGGTTTGGGGAGAGGAGGGATGATCTTACAAATTCCGAAGCCTGAAGCCTCGCGTTCGATGCGAGAGATGAAGGCGATGGGGTCGGCGAACTCGGTCGTGCTATGCAAGAGCAATTAACTACTTTTGTCTTTTAAGAGCATGTGATGTGTAAAAGCAAGGTAGAAAAATCATACTTAGATAGTTAGACTATGCAACTTAGAAATATGTAGCACTATTTATCATTCAAAGAAACATAAAGCTGGAACATATCATTGAAACTTACCATGGCTGAACCCGACATGATAAGCTCTAGGAAATGTCACAACAAATTCACCAGGATTCTGTACTAATCTGAATGCAAAGTTCAGACAATTATCATCAAAGTCACCAAACTCACTTAATAAAACAATTATGAATAATTTAGTTCAATCAACAATTATACCTGCAACAAGGAACCCCTGCATTGACAATCACTTCTGGCGACAACAACGTTGTCTTCTCACCCAAGATCGTAAATGCCTCTGCCACAAACAGAAATAAACCCCAGTTAACACAATGGCCAAAACATCAAATAAACACCCAAGAACCAACAACATACACAATCTTGATACCTAACCGATCAAGATCTCCTCCATACCCCTCCACTCTTACAACGTCCTCCATCGTGCTAGCATACTCTCCCGGCACGGCATACCAAGTCTTGGGCGCACCCATATGCAAGAAATTCAAGCTGTGAAGCTCATGATCCTCTATATGCCAGGCAAACCAACTAAACAACATCCCAATATAAACCATAGGCGAAGTAACCCCAGGGACCTCATCGGGCATGAACCGGGTAAGCGACCCGGGTGCCCGTGCAATAACCTGCAAATTCCATGGACTATTTGAAAGCTTCCACCCTGATGTTCCCTCCTCAACAGAACTCTTTGCCTGCTCCACAAACTTTCTCCGTCTTTTCCGATGCAAGAACGGCTCCTCGGGCACCGCAAACCCCGACCCTGGCACATCATTGGCATACTCCACGTAAATCGGCTTCTCAGCCGCAGCTTTCCAAAACAGGGACTCAATAAGCAATGGGGTCACTTCCTTAAACCCAGAAAGCTGCGATTTCTGAAAAGTTTTCGACTTTGATTCAAACTGCTCAAGCGTATAAAACTCCCCACTCTGCCATACCTGCTGCTTGTGGCGATGAGCCTGCGCCTTCCTAGTGCCGAGCTCCTGGTGGCGGGTAGTGAAGCGGGTGGACGAGGGGTCGGGCGCGAGGGAGCGGGTGAGGTTACTGACGACGAATTTCTTCGAGGGTTTGGGGAGAGGAGGGATGATCTTACAAATTCCGAAGCCTGAAGCCTCGCGTTCGATGCGAGAGATGAAGGCGATGGGGTCGGCGAACTCGGT